AATTGTTATCCGGGTCACTACGAAAATTTGCTGTTACCCGCGGGATTGACGAATCAACGCTTGTGGCCACACATGTACATGTTAGTAGAACAAAAAGACATATTTTCTAAAAGTCATTCTGTTTGTTTTTCACGAAACTATATTTGTTTTGGGGTTTGGTTGTTCGGCGGCAGAGAGAAATGTGTTGAAAACCTATTTTTTGAGCTTCAACCAAGTTGAGACTTAAAACATGTGGGTATGTAAAATAAGATAAAATTCATATGATATTGAAGCCACCGAGCACAATTACACAAGACCAGTATACCATATGTATGCTAATGCGAGACAGTTTATTTTGATCATGTAAGAATAGCTAATGTCGACCTAAATAAACACACACATCATATGCGCTCATATGCAGATCATTACTGAAAGGTATTTAATACCCACCGTAAGCAAAATGATTTATATGCGATCGTCAGCTGCAAGAGACGCATGCGCCTCCACGTTATGCCAGATGCGACATTATAAATTTCACCCTCAGACGTAAATGAGCTGGAAAATTATGATCGGAAGTAAATACGACGGTGTGCCTTCAGACCCAGATCTATTCATAGCTAATTTTGTAACTAAAGTGCCGAAGCGATCTACATCCTGGCACCAGCTCAAGATTTCGAATATAATAAACGACTTGTAACGTCGGTCACGTCACATCTCCGGGCAATTCACTGAGACACCTTTCTACCTCTTGGATGATCAGTCGCTTTGATGGATCTACTTGCAACTATATTGTACGAGGAGAATTCGAGGATACGTAAGCCCACGTTTCCCGAGTAAAATTCAATTCAAACTGTGTTCAATTTGCAAGGTTAGATCAAGATACTGCTTTTCGCTAAATCGATCGCTAGAAAATATTTGATGTAACAAACAGAATACATTAAAAATCGATGCTTATTAAATCGACACACCATTCCCAGCAATAGGGGACGAAAGCGTGCAGGTATCTGATCCCAGCCGTCCAGATCTCTCGTATCACCAGAGATAAGATACAAGCGACAGTAATCATCTTCCAAAGCCGCCTTACACCAGGGAAACAATCCACTCAGCATAACATACAAAACAATACCGCAGCTCCACACATCGAGAGCTTTGTGGTCATATTCTGTGGGCTGATTGGAGAACATCTGAAATGATTACAAGTGATCAGGATAAGGCGTCAATAAGCGAATGTCCAGAGATGATAGTACTAGCACTGAAAATCCTTAGTGTAATATTTCATTGGGCCGTAGAATAAAGTCACCAAAGAGGGTATAGCTGGACGCAAACACGATTTATTTGCACGCGATTTACTTATAATCACAAATACCTCTGGTGCACAGTACGGGATAGTGCCAGAGCACCTCCCAGAGCTTCGACGGCTAGATTGCGTAAGAACATCAGTGACCACCACAGCATGTTCGAAGTCGCAAAGCTTAGCACATATGTGGCTGTCCTCGCCCGCTACGTGTCCGCTAACGACAATATTTTCTGGCTTGATATCGCAGTGGGCTACACCATGAACATGCATATGCATGACCCCGCACACCAACTGCTGCATTATTGTAACAGCAAGCGGCTCATTATACTCAAGATATCCTTGGATAATCAGATCTGACAAACTACCCCCGTCACAAAATTCTTCCACCAATGTGAAGTCACCTTCTTCTGAAGTAGATCGCTCAAGTGTCAAACAGTGTACGTCATTGAAGCCCAAATCTTCACTGACATCGAAGATTTCAAAATCAAAAGCATCCTCATCCACTACAGATCTATCCTTCAAAGCACTACTAACAGAAGCAGACGACCCAACCTCCATATTTTCGGGCCCACTCACGGACGATCTTATGAGCGCTACAAGATTTTGATGGGCTGGCATGGCTGTTCGAATGGAAACTTCACGCTCAAAAATACTGCTCGCGATACTACCACGCGCAAATGTCTTCACAGCTACCTAGAGAGAGATTGCAGCGGCCAATGATTGGAATATACAAATTTATTTGGGGTAGCATGACAGTACAATGGAAAATCACAAAATCGACTCGAAGCAGAACAAATCGAGAGCATTACTACAATAACTGTTACATTGTGCCGCACACATCCTTATGCATAGAAGCTAAAAACTCAGATACGCATAATCAATACAAAGGTATCTGTGAAATACACGTAGGAGTAAAACTTAATACAAGGGAAGAAAATTGAAAACTGACACTGCAGCCTACAAATGCAGCTGCATGTTGTGGCTATAACACCGATGCCAAACTGGTTCAAAGAAATACAGTCAATTTACCTACCAACACAACATGCACAAGAAATTTACCGAGGGGTTTACTTTGAAGACTGTTTGCTAATAAAGCTCCAGATCAGATCGCTTATGTACATGATAATGTGATAATGTGAACATTTACAATATATAAATGAATAATTGTACACTTTCTTCCTTCAGAGTACTTATATAAAATGAAGTATAAAAAAAATGGCGCATTTGGACAGAAATGAATTCAATATAGCACTACACTACACTCAGACAAAAATACGAATACAACACACAAACACAAACACACACAAATATACATATAAACTTAGATAGATAAATATTCAAATCCATATTTAAACTATATAGATAATTCATATCAAAT